GATCCACGAATTCTCCTGGAAGTCGAAGTGTCGTTCCACAAACGAGTTGAGTCACAGTGTATCCAATATCAGCTTTCACTGCATTGCGAATACCTAGTAAGACGAGTGGAAGAGCGTCGGTCCACTGTGAAACGTTTGCAGCTGATAGTTAAGCTTTTAGTTGTCGGTGAAAGCGTTCTACCAATCCGTTTGCTTGTGCATGGTGGGCAGTTGTTCGGAAGCGAGTGGTTCCTAAAAGTGTGGTCAGACGACGGAAAAGTTCACATTCAAACTGACGTCCACGATCGGTAGTGATGGTTTAAGGGCAGCCGAAGTTTGCTACCCATCGTTCGACGAAGGTGCGGGCCACTGTTTCAGCAGTGATGTCCTTGATAGGTACTGCTTCTGGCCATAGAGTGAAACGGTCTACGCAGGTTAAGAGATAAGAGTATCCATTTGAATCTGGTAAAGGTCCTACCAAATCCAGATGAACATGGTCGAAACGAGCATCGGGAGTTTTAAATGAGCCCAAGGAACATTTATTGTGTCTGATAACCTTAGATTTTTGGCAGCTTACACAGGAGCGTGACCACTCTCTCACGTCTTTATTCATGCCAGGTCAGCGAAACCGTTCTGCTCTAAGCTTGATGGTTGCACGGACACCTGGATGAGAAAGTTTGTGCAATGTGTTGAAGACAACGTTTCGGCACGATTGGGTGACCCCTACCTATAGATGTGTCACAAAGTAAGGTTCCCCTACCTGTTCCCATCTGTTTGATGCGTAGTTTAAGGGTTGTAGACGATAACTCGTGCTGAAGATCAGTGTCTTCTTTTTGAAGCTCGGCGAGTTAAAGAAGGTCGACTCCTTAGAAACTGATCAAGGACGTTATGCGAGACAAAGCTTCTGCAACTACATCGTTTGCTTCAGAAATATGTTGAATTTCTGAAGTAAACTGCTAAATGTAGTCCAGTTATCCAGACTCACGGGGAGAGTACTTGTCTGAAGACGAACTTAATGAGAAAGTAAGAGGTTTATGGTCAGTGAAAAGAGTGAATTCACGGCCTTTGATATAGTGTTGAAAATGTCGTATAGCACAATACATAGCTAGGAGTTCCCTACCGAGTGAGCTGTACCTCAATTCGGTGTCTAGCAACCGTCTAGAGAAAAATGCCAAAGGTTGCTAGTAGTTGTTAACCCATTGTTGTAAGACTCCTCCGATTGCCGAGTCGGATGCGTCTACTGCGATGCTAATGGGTGCTTCAGTGTCCTGGTATGCAAGTATTTTGCTTTAGCGATAAGTTCCTTAACTGTGGAGAATGCTTTTCGTGCGGTGTCGTCCAGATTAATGGATTTCGCATTTCCACGAAGTTGGTCGGTTAGCAGTTTCATGAGTAACGCGCATTTCGGTATGAACCGTCTATAGAAACTTACAAGGCCGTTAAACGTTCTTAGTTGCTTGATCTTGGTCGGTTCTGGTTAATCCAGAATGGCCGCCACTTTGGTCCTAAGGGGTCGGATACCTTGAGCATCGATAGTGTGTCCCAGAAAGTCTAGTGAGTCGGTTCCGAATTGGCATTTCTGAACGTTTACAGTAATGCCATGATTTTGTAGTTGTTCGAAAACAAGATCCAGATGCTTGAGATGTGTTTCACTGTCCAGACTTGCGATTAGGCAGTCGTCAACATACGCATGTACGAAGTTGAGACCTCGGAAAACGTCGTCTATGAATCTTTGGAATGTTTGAGCAACGTTTCTTAAACCGAAAGGCATTCGCAAAAATTCATAGGGTCCGAAGGGAGTCATGGTAGTTGTTTTCGGTATGTCGTCAGTAGCCATAGGGATTTGGTTATACGCTTCAACCAAGTCGATTTTTGAAAAGACAGTTGTACCTTTCAAGGTAGCTGTCAAATCATGAATGTGAGGCAACGAGTAACGATCGGGAATGGTTTTCGCATTCAATCGCCGATAGTCACCAGTTGGACGCCAATCGTTGCTGTCCTTTTTAGGGACCATGTGCAACGGAGATGCATATGAGCTACTTGACGGTCGTACGATTCCTAAGTCTATCATATGGCCGAACTCGTTTTTCGCCAACCTTAGCTTTTCAGGAGCTAGTCGTCGTGCTTTAGAGAATACAGGTGGTCCTGTAGTCATGATGTGATGTGTAACGTTGCTGGTTACACACGGTAGTTTCGGTTGAGTTTGCTGTATCCCAGGGTACTTATCGAGTAGTGGTTGATAGAGTGGGTTTATCATATGTTTAACTGTGACTGGGGATACTCTGCAACCAGTAAAAGAAGTTACGCAAACGGACAAATTAGTGTTTCCGTCTACTAGCCTCCGTTTGCGAGTGTCGATGATCAGATTGTTGTGTTGTAGAAGGTCCATACCAATGATTGGCATAGAAACATCTGCAATAACGAAAATCCAGTGGATGGGTTTGCGTAAACCCACGTTAAGGTGAACGTACCTTTTGCCATACGTAGCGATCGGTTTTCCGTTTGCCGCCTGTAAGTTTAAAGCCGATTCGTGAAGCCGGTCGTCGGGATTCGCTGGGAGAACGCTAACTTCTGCGCCAGTGTCGACGAGGTAGCGAACTCTCGTTGTCACATCTGTGACGTATAACAGACGGCTATGTTCGCCGGCTACGGTTGCCGTTAACGCGTGCCGGCTTGGAAGTTTCCCGAGTTGTTTTTCGAGTCACTCGGTTTCGTGTTGGGAAAATTGCATGGTTTTCTGCAATTTCTGGAAAACTTTGCATACTGGTTATGATACCAGCACCAGTCGGGGTTATCTGTCTCTCGTGGCCTAGAGACAGATCGCTTACGTGAAATGCTTCTACATGGGGTGCGCGATCTCTTACGGTCCGTACGAAGATTAAGATAACGCGTGAGTGTATGACATAACTCGGTTGTGTCATTCTGAGTCCTTTCAGGATTTTCTTTTACTGAAAATACCTCGGTAGTAGAAGGTTTCGTAATTTCTAAAATGTGGTCGGCAGATGCAGCCAGCTCGTCTAAGGCGTTGTTCTGAAACGAGACCAGAACCGCTTGCACCTGTTGGGGAAGTTTAGACAAGAAAAGTTGTTTGAATAGACCTTCGTCGAAAGTTCTTGGGCCTATAAACTCTTTCATCGTTTGCAACATGTCCGTCGCAGAACCGTGTTGCAGGTCTATGTTATTAAAGAGTTGATCTAACCTTTGTTGATCGGTTAGGTCTCCTCGTTTAAGGATAGAACGCCTTAAGGTTTCGTAAGGTTCAGAAACATCATTAGTAAACATACTAGGTGTTACGTACCTGTTGAATTCCCGCGGTAGTGCCTTGACTACTGCAAGGAATCATGCACATCTGTCGTTCACGCCGTGCTCGTGAAAGTCGGCTTCTGCGTAGCAGAACGAGGCTTAGATATTGTCGGGCCAGAAGGGCATTAGTTGGAACGAGGATGGGGACATGGTCTTAATCTTAAATACCTAAGGAGTCTGTTCGTTCAAAGGGGAACATTAAGTACGAGACTACGAGGGAAAAATATATAGATATCCTAAAACACGGGAAAAATATCACAATGTATAAAAAATAGAAAAATAAGGCAATAATACATAAAAAGCTCAAAAAGGAACGGACTCACCGTTGCAATTAGGTGTACTAGACCACGTCGGTCTCACTAATGAAGATGGCACAGGTATTCAGTGTTTGACAACGCTTTTACCAGCAACACCTTCTAATATAATTCGTACCCACCAAGAGAAATCAAAAGACAGAGTCGAGGACATCGGAAGAGTATATTTGGCGATAACCAATATATCGGAATTCTCTGATCTGATCTGGCTAGCGATTGCGGTAGATGTTGAGCACGGCGTTCCCACACGTGATCTGGTGCGGATGCATGACCGAGCGCCTTCAGGGAGGTGAGTCCATTAAAACATGTGGTCAGCATCCAATGTCGAAAACTTACAGAGTTATTTATTTTGGGGATTTATTTACCGCTACAATATATTTTATACATACTTGGTTTACATACAAGCCAAACTAGACCATATCAAACCACAAAATAAAGAACAATAATCATACAGGATCAAGCCAAAAGTGGTTGTGAGTATGAGAGATTGTGACTACTAGATGGAGAATAACTCGAGAATGTTAAATCATATGATAATGGTCATTATGTTAAATAAGAGTTTATGATAAAGGAAATGTAAATATATAAAATGTATAAAATAAGAATATATATGCAATAAAAATTCATAAACAGGCCTCAGAAGTTACCCAAATTTTGATCTTCGTTAGGATATAACAACTAAGATTAATGTTCACTGGTTTTGGCACTCCAAAAATGCAATCTCGTTGTGTGAGTAGCTGAAAAGTTGTTGTTGCTGTATAAATCTCCAGTCAAGTACTGAAGTGCCTTGCAATCTTGACTCGAGGTACGAAGACATTTCTCAGTGATCAACCAATAGATACTGGTGGTTAGAAATCCACTACTAATTACAATTCTTCACTTCTGGCTATTCTTTAATGACACCACAGGTATTCAGAGTTTGACAACGCCCCTACCACTAACTCATATAATCGAAGAATGCCACCCGCCGAATCATAGGTCAGAAATGAAGAAGTTCGAAACAAATGAGTCCGCTTAGGCTCCAGATAAATCGGCCACCAAATACAAGTTGGATTTAGCCGAATGTATAGGTTAATGTCACCTGAATCTACCACAAATCCGCCGTCGTCACCTAATATCAAGACACAAACGCACTACAAATCCTCAAGTATCTGAAATGCCTGACTTGATTGTTACCAAGAACTGGTCAGTTTCGCTTAGTTGAACATTAAGAAATAGCTGAAACCACCTTTCACCTTGTGTAGAATAGACTAAGATGTTTCTCTCTAGCTCATTTAAAGTTATTGTACCTGAGTGGCAAGCCTACACATATTAGACGATACAAAAGACCTGAAGCCATGTTTTAACTCTAAGATGTCAGCTCACAAAGTTTATTTAGTTTATACTTGGTATTTGCCAAGGTACCAGATATATGCTCTTGGATGTGAGCGGCTGATTTAAGTCCAAGGTCCAACGACAGCGGTCAAAGGGCAACTACACTGTGGTATGGTGACGCTTCTTTGCGCCGCTTCTTTATTTCTGCTTTGTGCACATCAAAAATTCAAAATTAATTATAAATAAATCTGAAAAATTGGTGGTTTTAGACTGAACTTAGGGATCTAGCAGACGGAACTAAGATTTAGAACTGTTTAAATCCCTACAACACCTTAGTAAGAGCTTTCCTCTGTTCTTCACGAAAGTCACCTCGAGTTTTGCTATCTTTTGTTATGATTGATATTGTTGTATACTTAATGCCGTCGGTGTAAGCCTTGTGTATGATTGTTTACTCTCTTGAAACCTGATTCCTTAGATAAAACGTATTATAAAAGGTATTTGAATATATTGGTTATCCACATAACATGACTTTATTATTATTTGTACTAACACTGTAGTATAATTATCAAATGAGGAACAGTTGTTTTTTTATGAACTTATCGAGAGGCGATGAGACCATAATATATGGACGACCTTTGAGCGACGCTGAAGTGACCTTGAGAACGGATACCTACTAATTAGGACAAAATGAAATTTCTAAACCAGTTAGAGTTATGATTCACGGTTGATAGTTAAGGTTAAAAATTAGATTTAGGGTTTTCGTCACGAAATGACATAAGCTATAATGCCAAAACTATTTAGCCAAATGGATGAATGAATTTCGCTCTATAATTTATTACTCTCTATCTTTTATCTAATTGGTTCGTCCATGACTTATAGTCGGCCCAGACGCTTGTTGAGATGAGCAAAGATGTTAGTCAGATTACTTCAGAAATTTGGAATTTGTTCGTAAAAGACGTGCATAAGTTATACAATATCGGTCACACATGTCTTATAAACATCCCTCATATCTGATGAAACCACGGAGTTACTTATGTCGGGATGTGGATAAGGGTACTATTTAGAGTTAACGACCCGATTAATCATGCTGTGGAACTTAATTGACTTCTATGTTTAAGATGTGCGTTACACATTCCTCATGACCGCCTACCCTAATGTGTAATATCATTTAACGTTCATATTGGTCAGGTAAGGTACATAGTTACGATCTTAAAACAATTCTTATAGATCATACCTTGTTCTAAATTACTTACTCAGAAATTGTTTTTTGTTCAATCAATTTATAAGATTTTTTGTTAGCACTTTCTACATATTTTTCACTTAGGCAGTTGAGTTATTTTCAGGCAATTTACTAGTGTTCTTGTTAGAATTTCCTAAAAATAACATGGAATAGGATACTAGTCGAGTCAGAGCCTATGGCGAACTGTCATAGATGACAGTAGCTACTTTTGCAACCTCAAGTGAAATCCGTCAAGGCTGTCCACTTTCTCTATTTTTGTTTAACTTCATCATAGTTGTACTGATGCAGGGTATTATAGAATGATGGTAAATCAGTTGATGAGGTTGTGAATCATCATCGACTGAGATGGTTTGGTCACGTGTTACGTATGCCTGAACACCGATTACCACGAAGTGCAATGTTAACCGGTGTTGGAGAGGGTTGAAAGAAAGTCAGGGATGGTCAAACCAAAACGTTGCATCAGTCATTGAAGTCACTAACTTCTAGTCTGAGTCATGGTGGTAGATGCAGACTACTTGGTTGTGGTCCGTGTGACTATCGTAACCAATGGTTAGAGACTGTGTGTGATATGGCTCAGAATCAATCACTCTCTGTCTTCCCTTAAACTAAGAGATTACAATCACTTCATATCTTTCTTTCTACGAACTAACACTTTCTTCCTATACTATATCCTTATATGCAATCTTTCTTCTATATATTACCACCTTTGACCTAACCACTCCTGTGAATCCGGTGTTCATCTTGCTGTGCTAATAAGGTATGGCAACCTGGACCGATGCACATGTGTTCCTGGTCCTACGTTGTAGCTGACCGACTGAGCCCTCATAACAACTGATAAAGTTTTTTCTGGTTTCTTTTTAGAAATTCATACCTACCTAATTTTTTTAAAATACTCTGTTGAACACCATTGTCTATCATACTAGTATTAATTGCATGTCACCAAGTAAGTTTTAAATCCTATTTCCTAATATTTCACTACAGTCATGTCAAATTTTCTCTATGTGATCTGTATATTTGCTTTTACTTACGTCGTAGAAAGTTCTTGGAATGTAAGTTTATATTTCAGCATTTATTTATGATAAACATTCAGGTTACTATAAATCATAATCCAAATTGTAATCTCTCGGAAGGATGTGACAAATATGATGTGATATACATAAATGGTCGTAATTTAACGTCTTCAGTACATGTGTTTATAACAGCATCAGAACGCTTTTCTCTTCCATCAATTTTGATTATTCACAGTTCATCAGCTGAAGCTAATCCTGTAATAGAATGGGAGAATTTAAATGTTTCTTCTGGAAAAAGATTAAATATCGGTAATGTGACCCAATCATATGCTCTTATATTTTATAAAGTAAGTTTGTACTTAATAAACACGGTACTGTCAGATATATCCCTTACTATATATATATATATATATATATATATATATATATATATATATATATATATATATATATATATATATAACACGTGCGAGCAGCCTAGAGTCCTGATTGGTCCTGCTTTCCGCCTAGCCCAGCCAGTTAAGTCCAGAACACCAGTCTCAGCCTCCGCAATATGAATCATTATATTTCAAACATACTGAGTTTATATACAAACCGGACAGACCACAACGTAACAATAGAATATGAAAAAAAACATTTGTACAAGAATTAGCTAGATGTGGCTGTGGATGAGGGAGGTAGTAATTAATATACTGGGTATAACTCAAGAATGGTCAAACGTATAATTATAGTTTATGGGTCAAAATAAAGCTTATGATAAGAGGAATATGAATATGCATAGTTTAATTACGTAATAATTATACAATAGAAATATACGTTTAGTATTGGCCCATCAATAGATCCCACAAGTTACCATTCATTATTCTTGTCGGGACAACACTTACTCAACCAGCTACGCTAGTGAAAGGGATTATACGTGACTACTAAGCTTTGATTGAGAAACTGAATAATAAAGTACGCATATATTTGTCATTCTGACCTACACCAGAACATGTGGGCTGAAACCTTGACTGGGAACATAGTCAGTTTCCTTCACTAAGATGGTTCACTTATAATTTGTCGCCCAACGCTTGATCTTGAGGTAACATCTGAGCACAGGCACATAATTTGCCTAAACTCTACATCCATATCACGAATGAAGTCATTATTGCTAGAGAAGACAAAGGTAGACCCATTAATCAGACTCAGTTTTACTCAGTACAAGTTTGTGTACTTGTTTTTAGCGTTTGTAGGAGTGCCTGTGGTATACTAATAATTGGCTGCACAAACCGAAGTAGGTCGAGCGAAGTTCTAACGTCGCAGCCTATTGGTTGTGAAATGCAAATGCTATAACCTCTAAGCAACCATTTGTTGCTGGGCTTTTATAAAGAATATAATCATAGCATATAAGCTTTACAGTATTCCAAATTATTCTGAACACGTTATGAAAAGGACCTCTACTTTCATTCGGAGATACAACGTTACATTTTTGCTTTTTTATTTAAAAATCAACCAGATGCTTGAATATAATAATTTATCTGATGATGTAAACATGTCCATTTATCCTCAAAATTCTGATCAAATTCGAATCCACCATTTAAATGAATATAACTGGAAGCGTAATTCAAACAACGATAGTTCATTATTCTTTGAAAATAATTTATTTGAAATAACATACAATGGAAGTAGTCCAAAATTGACTTCACCATACGAGCAAGTTATTATTAAGGTAAGTTAAAAAATATGATGGAACGCTAGTCTTAGTTTTGTTCTTTAATATGTGTAACATATTTGTCTTTGTTCAGGCTGTTGTATTGATGATTGTATTTGGGTCTATGTATGGCATATGTACATTTTATCAGTTTATGGGGTTATGAACTGTTATTGGTTATAATCATCTGTCACAACTCTGTGTATCAATCACGTCTTAAATAAACACAGGGCGCAAGAAAAATCAACGAGACAAAACACAAAAGGGATGAATTAATTTCAATTATAGAGCATATTATTCAGCTTGAAGCAACGTAGAACCTGACACTTGTGTATCAGCCCAAATTGCTACACCATATCAGCACAGTGAGATGAAATTATGAAGGCAAATGTTGGAGCAGTAGAAGTAGTAACTGTAGTGATGATAGTAAAGAAACATTAGGTATAGACACCACACTTCAAGAAGAAAAGATGAATTCCCAGGATATGAAACAATAGGATAGTTTCAAAACTCAAGACCCAAGGACAGATAAGTGGTGAATGCATTTAAGCCATGCTACTTAACATCTTCAACCATAGGTTAATCACGTGGATTCCAATCAGATAATCTGTATCTACCTATACAGTTCAGATTAGTAGTCAGTAACTGCATGGATTGATGTCACATCTTAGTTTGGCTGCTCTTAGCTATCTTCCAACCGAGTTTTCACAATTATTTCTATAATAATTTCCATTAAAGAAACTTGTTATTATTTCAGTTAGAATTTGTTTTGTTTTGTTTTCTAATTTCAGTTTCGAATAAGTAATACAACTCAACATCATAAAGATATGCCACATTTATTATTTAAACCTGGTTGGATTATTCAATTTGATATTTTATTCAATAATTTAACTAGTAATTTTAATCAAAGTCGATTTGGTTTACAATTAATGATGATGTCAAATTTAACCTTGGGTCCAACTGAAGAATTTCGTAAAGAAGTTTTATTCAGTATTGACGATGAATTAACACCTGGAAATTTTGAGGTAAAATTTTTATTTTTCTGAAACGAAAACAACAACGTGTAAAAAAATGTTCCTGTCAGAAAGTAGAATGAATTTTATTCTGTACAGATTAGTGACTAATTTTATGGGGTAATTTCTGGTGTTCTAGTGACGAAAAGGTTTGACTAGTGGAGTTCAGCTATATGTAGTGTGAGACAGTTGGCTTACTCACCAATGACATTGGAAGATGATTGCGCTATTTCACGGATTGATTAAAGTTAGAAATGTAAACCATTGAACGATGGGTCATTTATCTGGAGGTTTAGTGTTCACCTAGAGACTTAATGAAGGTCGTGGGTTCGTTTCCTTGTGGTGTCATGAATTGTAATCTCTCATACTAAGACAGTATGGCTGTTCATTTCTCCTGGTTTGATTAAGGTAATTGTCTACTTAGAGTCAGTCTGTCATGTAAACTATAGAAATTGATGTTTTTGGTCGAGTTTCGTTCTCTAAGCTGGGTAGTTTTGTTGTGAGGTTTTCATTGTTCTTCTGAATAAAATCAACGAAAACTTCAGATGGAAGTGAAGTGTTTGAATTTCCCTACAAATAATAAACAACTTATCCTTGTCATCCACCTGGGCTACAAAATTTCACCATCATCTTATATTTGTCTTTGTGTGTTTGTGAAACTTAGTTATCAGACGTAAGATAAGCAAATCAATTCAGTATTTTAATCCTATAAATGTGTTCTAGTCCAAGGGAATATGTTATGTAGCAAAAAAGCAATAACAATCATCTTACTTAGCGTTACTTAGTTAATGAAGTGTGGAATTTTCACCAGACAATATTTCGACAAGTTCGTCTGACTTTATATGTATATATATACATAATAGAATTAAAGCCTTTATCAATATGGGGTTGTGGAGGTTATAATGTTATTGATTGAGATTTTGAACCGACTGATGTCAGACCACCGTTGAAAACGTGGAAGCTTTGGGCGGCCGTTTCGTCCTATTGTGGGGCTGCTCAGCAGTAAGCGTACACGATCTCGCTCGCTGGATTCAAACCAAGGGCCTTCAGTCTTGCGTGCGGACGCTCAACCTACTAGACCGTTGGCGAATGCTGGTGAGCGGCCTATGCTCCTTCACGAGGAGTAACAGGCGTAAGTAAGTAAGTTAGCGTTTGAATATTAAGCAATTTATTGTTATCAGTAAATTTAAGATTGCTTTCATACGTCTAAATAGTTCTTTGTATATATATCCATCTTTTCTTAAATACTAGATGACCAATATTTTATTAGGTGAATCAGTATCTAAAATGAATAATAATGCTGAACAATATTCAAGGAATTCAACTCATCCATCAGCATTCCTTCAAATCAAACCAGCTTGTTTCATTGATAATCATTTGCGAACAGTTCAAAATAGTCGTAATGTTTATATTGGTAAACATCAAGATTTATCAGAGAATAATAAAATGGGAAATGATAATTTATCTCAATTTCATTTACTTCATTATTCATTTCCATCAATATTTTATGCGGATCGATTAAATCCTAATAGTAACAATGATACTAACCTGAAACCTATTGGTATTCGTTTATTAAATGTATCATTTGGTACATCGACTGATGGATTTTATGCTAAATCGAAATTTATTGTTTGGTGAGTTAATCTTATTTTGATTATTGTCTGTTTGTTTGTTATTGTTGTTATTGAGTTTTCTCTTTGTTCATTTTTCTTTTTCCTTTAATATTCAGTTATTCATTGGTAATCAAATTTAAAGCCTGGAATAAGCGTATGTTATTTCAAGTTGTCATGACTAGTTAAAATGAACAGGAAGTATATTAATTATTACGAAATATTCGTCTATCAATTAAGGGACGAGTATACTGTGTGGCAGTTCGTTCTGTTTTATTTTACGGCTGCGAAACATGGCCATTTAAAGTTGAAGATACTCATAAGCTACTAGTATTTGACCACAGATGTCTTAGAAATATTGCTGGCATCTGCTGGGATCATCGGGTAAGTAATAGTGAGGTTAGATGCAGGGTATTATAGAATGATGGTAAATCAGTTGATGAGGTTGTGAATCATCATCGACTGAGATGGTTTGGTCACGTGTTACGTATGCCTGAACACCGAGTACCACGACGCGCAATGCTGACTAGTGTTGGGCATGGTTGGAAGAAAGTTAGGGGTTGCCAAACCAAAACGTGGTATCATTGCTTGAAGTCACTAACTTCTAGTCTGAGCGATGTTGGTAGATGCAGACTACTTGGTTGTGGTCCGCATGACTATCGTCACCAATGGTTGGAGACTCTTGGTGACATGGTCCAGGATCGGTCACAATGGTCAAATATTGGAACTGTTACGCTACACTGATGTATGCCTAGAAGACGTTTACTTAGTAAAATTTCAACTGACTGACTAACTATATCTTGTTTACAAACTATTTCACATTGTTAAGCCTGAGCTATTTTTTAGTTTTCTGATAATACAATGCATTACACCTAGTTTTTATAATACATCATTTGAACAGTATTAGTACACATATTTATCTATAAAACTGATCAATAACTGTAGGCTTTTAACCTTTGTTACAGTGCTGCTATATATATCAGTAATTGACAACACATGTTTATATTTTTAATAATAATCAAAGTTCACCATACATTCCATTACACACGAACTGACACCTTAGATATTCCGTTACTAAACAATCTCATCATATTTTTGTGTGACTAGGTGTAATCAGAATAATTGCATAGAATATACTGAGGGGCGATCTGCGTGGTGCCTTGTGAGAATCATATACATCATGGGCTGATCCTACATCATCATTGAATGTTGAGAAATACTAAATAGCAGTTTAACATTCTTCAGTAATGGGGATTCATGACCCACTGGAGAATTATTATGAAGTCAAGATTTTTTCGGTGTTTACAGTCTTGAATGCTTGAGATGTGATTCTATCCCTCCAAATGCAGAATGTTGCTTCAGGGCAACTGCCTTAGCGTCTAAATTAATAACAGGGATTGAAGTAGTCGATTGCATCAACCAGTCAGCTACAACCTTGGACCAAGCAACAACCACTTCACTTAGGGTCTCATCAGCAGTGATTAGTCGGTGTCTGGGAAAGGTTCGGCACGGAATCAGGAAGTTCGACTGACCTTTCCTGACTTGGATTGCTTGTGGCGTAGGCAGGATACCCGTAGGCAAACCCGCGTGGTCTAGTGGTTAGGATTCCTGGCTTTCACCCAGGCGGCCCGGGTTCGATTCCCGGCGCGGGAGACTTTGCCCCCGAATGCCTTGGTACGGCCGATAGTGGGGAGAGTCCGCTCTCCCTCTCGAAATACTCTCACACGGCCACGCGTATACAGCCTCTGCCAGGGAAGTCCTACTCATTGCCTTCTCGTGGCGGGGGTGTTGTTTACGAAAATGAGAGGACGAAAAGCGAATGTCCGGCGCTTTAACCGGATCACAAATCAATGGTGCACATGGGCTCCATTATCCTGCGGGAACAAATGGCGTATGAACCAATCGTTGGTCACCGGCTACCATGGGATTGCATCTCCTTACGATGCTCCACTGCCTTGTGGGTTAGACCTTTAGGTCGAAGGCTCGGGGAGTGGCCCCCTAAGATAACCACCTGCTTCGGTTCGGGCACCCGGGCAGTATCACAGCCCACACACAAATTGATGAACTCTCTATGCCTATGGAAATTACTTTTCTCGCTTCGAAAAACAAGCAATTGATTCAAATTATTATCATTACAATTATTCTCATTATTAATACTCTTATTATTATTACTACTGTTATTGTCATTATTGTTATTATTATTATTATTATTTTCCACATTATTCACCCTCTTTTATACTTATACAGAGGCTCGTCTTTGGTGGAAATTCGACTGTATCTAAACGTTCTCGAGTCACTGTCCGGTTGAAAATTGTATGTTACCACCGAATACGAGGACTGAAGCAGTTTTTCTGAAACCACGTGCACCATTCAAACTGGCTGCCTTCAACGTTCGCACATTTATGCAGGTCGGACAACAGATAGGGCTGGCTATGTCTTTGGAAAGTCTTAATATTGATGTTTGTTGTCTATCCGAGACCCGTATTCAAGACTCTGGCGAAGTACTACAAATTCGATCTCCATCTGTCGCTTCGAAAAGCTTGTTTTACGTGCGCTTATCCGGGGACCCTGTGGCATCTTCGTCTGGTCTTGCTGGCGTTGGTGTCGCACTAAGCGCTAGAGCTTAGGCAGCACTAGTCGATTGGATCCCCATTAACAGTCGGTTATGTGTTGTTAGATTAGAAAGTTCCATCAAAGTGAGAAGAAATCGGCGTGAGAAACGATGTCTTTTCGTCATCTCCGCCTATGCACCGACAGATTGCAGCTCGGATGCAATCAAGGATGAATTCTACCACCAGTTAACTGTTCTCCAGAAAGTGCGTTCGGCAAATATTGTAGTACTAGCCGGAGACTTGAATGTTCAGGTCGGGCGTTTAGGCACAGAAGAGAGTCGTTTAGGTGGCCGTTGGGGTCTTGTTAGTCGCAGGACAGAAAACGGGGACCATCTACTATAACTGTGTAAAGACCACAACCTGTTTCCGGCTAGCACTAACTTTCGACACAGTCATCGCCGATGTGCTGCCTGGCGTCCTCCCTCTGCATCTCAAGTCTGGACTCAGATTGATCACATCGCGATCAGCTACCGCTGGCGTGGTTGTGTACAAGACTGCCGCTCCTTTTGGAGTACCTATCTGGACTCTGACCATGCCTTGGTCTGCGCCAATCTTGCCTTACTTTTCAGTGGACAACGAAGTGACCGCCATCAACGGATCGATATTAGCAAGCTGGTTGCAACTTCTGTTGCAAGTAAGTATCGAACCGAGCTAGCCTCTAGGCTAGCTACCACTCCGCCGAAAAGTATAGATGAGCATTGGTTGCAATTGCATGACGCCATGAAAATGGCGGGTACAGTCAGTTGTGGGTTCGCGAAACGTCCCGCTTACAAGCACTGGGTTTCTGCAGGTTCCTTACAACTCATTGAAGCCCATCGGTCTACTCCGGGTGACCGTGAGTTTGACCACAAACGAAGGATGTTACGTAAGGAAATTGGGCAAAGCTTGCGTAAGGACCGAGAAGCCTGGTGGTCGAAGCGTGCTAATGAGCTGGAAGCAGCAGCTGCATCTGGTAACTACCGGAAGCTCTTCCAACTCATCCGAGCCACTGGCAGCAAGAAGTCTGGTGTGAGTGAAACAATCTGCGAGGATGATGGGATGCCAATCACTAACATCCATCAACGTCTTGGACGATGGGCAGAATTTTTCGAAGGGCAGTTCAACTGGCCTGCTGCTCCGGTAACATCGGTCAGACTGCCCTGCCCTCCATGGCCGGTGACGACTGATCCACCAAACGAGGAGGAAGTCCGCAAGGAACTCCAACTCTTGAAGCGTTACAAATCACCTGGCTCAGATGACTTACCTCTGGCTCTTTTTAAAGATGGTGGTGACTTTTTGACTAAGGAATTGACGACGTTGTTTACAAAGGTTTGGGAACTAGAGAGTGTACCAACGTCATGGAATGAGTCGATAGTTGTCCCTATCTTTAAAAAGGGTTCACGTCGTTCCTGTAACAACTATCGGGGGATAAGTCTACTTCCGATTGCGTCCAAGCTATTGGCTTCCGTCATACTTCGTAGGTTGTTCAAAACCCGAGAAAGATTGACTCGCGAGGAGCAGGCTGGGTTTCGTTCTGGTCGAGGATGTATTGATCATATCTTAACCCTCCGCCAAATGTTAGGACACCGCCATACTTATCAAAGGCCAACAATCGTAGTGTTTCTTGACATCAGGGCTGCCTTCGATTCGTTGCACAGGACTGTTCTCTGGGATTGTCTATTGAAGAAGGGTGTGCCTGAGAAGTTTATTAACATCCTAAAAGCCCTATATACAAACACCTCAGGCAGAGTGAGGGCATACAACCACCTCTCTCCATTGTTCCATTCGAGCAGCGGGGTTAGGCAGGGTTGCCCAATCTCATCATTCCTCTTCAACTTTGCCATCGATGACATTCTGGAAACAGCTCTGATGAATGTAAGTAATGGCGGCGTGGATCTGTTGCCTGGAGAAAGACTTCTCGACCCTGAGAATGTGGATGATATTGTTTTACTGTAGGATAATGCCCAAGACATGCAATCCTCACTTAATCAGTTGACAATCAGTGTCCGTAGGTATGGTATGTGCTTTGCACCTTCGAAGTGCAAAGTACTTCTACAGGACTGGCAGAATCCCAATCCTGTACTCACCTTGGATGGTGAGCAGATAGACGTAGTCGAGAAGTTCGTGTATCTGGGTAGCTGCATAAGTGCTGGTGGAGGTGTGAGTGATGAGATCAATGCACGAATAGTGAAAGCCAAAGCGGCTTATGCCAATCTGGGCCACCTTTGGCGCCTTCGTGATGTTAGTCTGGCCGTAAAAGGTCGGATCTGCAACGCATCGGTGAGAGCAGTTTTGCTCTATGCTTGTGAAACCTGGTCTCTCCGAGTTGAGGATGTTAGACGACTCTCTGTGTTCGATCATCGCTCTCTCCGAAGGATTGCTGACATTCAATGGCAACACCATGTCAGCAATGCAGAGGTTCGGGATCGTGTGTTCGGGCACAGAGATGATAATTCAATTGGTGTCACCATCTTGAAACACCGACTTCGGTGGCTTGGACATGTTCTCCGAATGTTGTCCCAGAGAATTCCACGTCGTGCATTATTTGCTGGCTCTGGGACTGGTTGGAAGAAGCGGAGAGGTGGTCAGTGCATGACATGGTGTCGTGGTATGAAAGAAAGCTGCAAAGGACTGGCTTGTGTTGGTCCTTCACGACTCCCTGGTTGGGGTCTGAGATATGGTGCAACACAGTGGCTAGAGACGTTATCAGATATGGCTCAGAATAGAAGCCAGTGGCGATCCTGCTGTAATCTTCTTTAACATTCTTCATAAAAAGTGGTTGTGTCTCCCTTACCTGAAAGATTTCTTCGATTGTACCTTTGCGTCCCCTCATTACTACCACACTACCTTACACCAATCTCTTCGTTGTTGTTCTCTTTTTTTTTCTATTTCTCTTCGAATTCTCATTGTTTTGTGTGGCGGATATATATTTGGCGCTCTTGTACCAATGTTTATGTGTTCAAATAAATAAATAATAAGGCAAACCAAAGGATGAGATAACTATATATTAGTTCGCTTCGTTCTACTTTATGGGTGTGAAACACGGTTTTTAATACAGAATATTTATAGGTTACTATTTATTAATCGTGTCTTTGGAGTATTGCTTGTGTATTTTTGAACCATAGAGTAAGGAATACACAGGATATTAGGGCAGGATGTCAAATTGACTGGTTAGTTAGTGGATCTTCGTCAACCGAGGCGGTTGGAACATGTGTTACGTATTGCTAATCAAAACATACTCCTTAGGAACTGAGTCCCGAAACCCTATATCTGTTTCTTTATTTTATACCTGGTTTTCCTTACCATTACTGACACTACTACTTTCGTATACGCCCTGAAACAATTTTATCGCACTTTGTGGTATGGCAACTTGGACCGATGCACATGTGTCAGGAACTACATTGCGTATGATTTAGTGTCAAAGGAATTATGTTTGTTGATTATTCTGAGCCATAATGTATCGAGTTCTTGCCGCCCGGTGCCCTTCGGACACTATACTTCAACCGCCTTCTGAATTAGATCATGAATTAAAAGTAAGCAATGTATATTCCAATAAATTCGAATAATACAATATACCGTAATGATGGCATTACTGTTCATACAAGGATCTCAGCATTTTTTTCCGACTCGTCCACTAGCGCTGATTCACCGAAAAATCAAACAATCAATGTGTTCTGATTCGAGCCTGGTTAGGACATTTAATAGTCAGAACATTGTCAGTCTAACGTATTGTTCGGTATTGTCATTGAAATGTCTCGTGTTGCAGTGACTAGATTTAGTCAACAATAAATAACTTAAATTTCAAATGAATATTTAGTTGTTCATTGTACTGTACCTGTCATTCATATCTGTTTTCTGTTTATACAATACTATTTTGTGATGAAAACTGCTGCTTGATTTGTAACAAATGATTTATATCACTTATATAAGGGTTTTGTAGAGATGGCTGAATTTCTATGGTTTGCATATCGTGTTTAGTGGTGACTAGTTTTGAGATTTCTAAAGAAACGTCATAACCAGTGGAGTTCAGCCACATCATGTGTGAAGCATTGACCCACCAGTGGTACTGGAAGTTTTCCAGTATCGCGAATTGATGGGAGTTAGAAATGTAAATCATTAGATGCCAACTCAGTGTTCTTAATGTTAAACTCATATCCTAAGACCTGATGGTCCCAGGTTTGGTCTTCTTTGGCGAGGACGCTACTGCTGAGTAGCTCCATACTAAAACGAAGCAACTGTCTAGTGTCTCCTGGTTCTCAGTGATGGTCTAAGGTCGGTCTGTGATGCAGGCTATAAAATCATTTATGATCATCCATATCCATCCAAGTTGAATTTTCAGAAATAAATTGATAACTGTATCATAAGATTACCTCGTCTCAACTGACTGCTTTCTATGCTTAATATTTAATCCTTCCAGGTTGCTTTAACAAGCAGAATGGTTTGTTATTGAAACAATATCATTCTCATATTTGTATTTTTTCAGTCTTCCTTTATTAAATTACATTAGAAAATAATCATTTATCACATTACATATGACATAACTAATCCTATAACTCATCATAATGTACAATATAATACAACTAACTTATTCACCAAGTACTTGGATGTAAGTTACGGTTTAAGTGTAAGAGCTAATAATAGCAACCGGTTGTTCAACTCAAAATGCGTTTCGAACCTAAGGCCTAGTGGCAAGAAGTTGAACGCTTTAATCACCCAACTCTCGCTTCACATTCATGATTGCTCAAAACAATTAGAAGTTCTGTTGTGACTGAACCTAGATCGATTTTTACCCCGTGCCAATTGTTGTGTCCTTGACTGGAAGATTAGAGAGCAGCGTATTTATCGATCGATTCAATGACACGTAAACACGCACGGACGGCCTAGAGTCTCGATTGGACCTGCTTCCCTGTCTAGCCCAGTCAGTTGAGTCCAGAACACAAGTCACAGCCTCGGAGATATGAATCGTTATATTTCAAACATACTCTGTTTATATACCAACCAAACATACCACATCGTACCATAAAATAGAAAACGACATCTGTACAATTATAAATAACGGCCAATAGGGAATATCCATTTAGAGTCCAAGGACGCCATTAGACTTAACATGATAATTATTGGTACATTCCTGTGCATCCACAACAAGTTCTTACTCTGATGTAATTCGTTAGTACACTATATAGTTGCTCTGAATGAAAATAGTTGCTTTTATCAGTAATAAAACGCAAATTTATCATGATAAATAATATATATATATATATAATTCCACTAAAAAGGAAGATAGGAATGGGATTGAATAAAATACAGTTACATTTATATTTACCAGTCTCGTAGTCTGAATAAGGACATAAAGCATACGATCACTTAACTAATATGGATCTAATCCGATTAAGAAGACAGTTACTTTGTTTTACTACACGTTAGATATGAGGTGAAACCAGTTAGAAAATCGCCATATGACATAAAATATTTGTCTTTGGTCCTACATTACAAATCCCCAACACTGTGTATTTGCAATCCTACAAACGACCAAATTCCGAAGAACATTTATGTCTAGTAATCGGAACGTCTCCAGATTATGATCTCTTGGACTTCTAAGCCGCTGAGAAAAATCCATATCGTCTCAATGGTATCTTTGGATAATCATCTTTTATTTGGAGAGCGAAAACTATCGTGGATTAACGTTTGATGTGAATAGGTAGGATAATCTAGTTACTAGAACGGAACTCGCATATTTACAACCAGTGCTTAATATCCAAGCCTATTGTTTTGTCATATACTGACACGGTAGATCCCTAAAGAGTTTACATAAACAGTAAGAGTCAGTGTTCACTTTGTCCTTCTCGCGTACTTATTGAATAAATCATGCATTCTATATTTCAAAGTTTTATTATTAATTGCAAATATTTAAACCCAGTACATTCTTTGCTTTCCCAAGGACTGCGTCGTTTGGTCTTGGCAACCCGCCTACTGATAATCTATCTTCTTTATTGATTGGATTAATTATATTCTCGATGCTAATCATTGTTAGCTCTGTAGTTTTAGGCATTCTACTTGTCATTGTTTTACGTCGAAGCACTACTATTATCAATAATGACAGACAACCGATTCTTAGTCATTTTGTTAATGATCCTATCGCTTAAATTGAATTTTTGCCCTTTTATATATTTTGTCCAAATTTTCGTTATTCCTTGAGGAGAGACAGGGTGGAGTAAACAAGAACCTGAGGAAAGAACCACAAATCCCATGAATCGTTAATTATTATTTTATGATATTTTTTCATTGTTGATTGTATTCTCTTGTATTAATTCATTTGTGCCTTAATAGTATGCGGAAATCCACATTTAATATATATATACTTCTGTGATTTGCATTGAGAAAATATTGATTACACTGTTCTGTGTTAGCTGGATAATTGTGGCCGAGAAATGGGTTATACAAAAAATTAACCAAAATCAGGTAGAGTGAAAGAGGGGTCAACAATTTCCTTCTTAACTCTGTACAATCACAAATATGGGTATGAATTTAAGGGAAAACAGATTAAATCAACAAATGGAATAGGACTGATATCAAGGTTTATGAATACATCCGCTCTACTGGGACTATCTCCAATCATTGATTATTACTACCACGCAGACTCAAGGGAGAAATTCTGACTCTTCCAGGAAAGGCTACGACTAACGACTAGTGGTTTCATGGTCTGGTATTATACTTAGAATGCCTACCCTTAGCTTTTCTTCAAGCCACTGATGGAGGTTAATGGATGATATAGATTTCAGTCACCACAGTCGATCAACATTATTCTATAAACGGACTCGCCATTTCTATGCAGTACTCTACATCTAACTCTAGGGACTACTACAATTGCTAAGTCGTTCATCAATAAAAGGCAAAACAAGCATGACTTCGGCCAATCTTCAACGACTGACCAGATGTAAATATCTCAAACTCACACGAGGTTAGTCGCTGCTTAAATGGCTTAGTGGTAACGCTTCGAACAGTGATGTGGTTTTGAATTCGATACGGAGAATCCGTCTTCAAGATTATAGGCACGCTTTGTTGAGTAATCTCAACCAGCACGAAACATAGGCCGACGCCGTTCCCAATCGGTTACCTCCATGATACTAATTTGAAGTTTCCTCACATATTCAAAGCAAAAATAGATTATGTGAGTAAGTGTTGGTTCTACATGATAGATATTCTTATTCTAGTAAGATCGTTAAATTATTATTCAAGATGCAAACCCACAAAAATCAAGTTATGGATTATATACAAAATAAAGAATTAATGATTTAATCTAGCACCACAGAAGTGTTCCATACTAGCACACAATCGGTTTTGAGTCAAAATAACTTATATGCATATATGTAATACCACTTAAGCTGTTAAAATCAAATTAGATGTAGGTTTTTCCAGTAGAAAATCCGAAAGTCTAATGACTAGTGAGCAACTATTCATCTAATCATCGTAGCTAAATTTATCTGTAACATTCTTTTAAAGTGTGGTGTGGTTTTCAAAATAAAAAGTGATCATATCTAAGCGTATAGCTTGTTAGTTGGATTAAAAATTGCTCCTAGAAGCAAACTAGTTTCAAGGATAATAATACTTAATCACTTCAGTCAATATATGGGACCAGATCACTACAGCTCTTGTGTAAAATATTAGATATATGTAAACTGTTATACTCAAGTTCAAAACAGGGACAAAATGTAGTTCATTTGCTGCTCGAATCCGTTATGTAATGATTCATGGTTTAGCTTATTTCATTTCAGTAAACGGAATGCACCGACTAAGACACTAAACAAGGGAGATTGTTTCGGTGAATTCATTTTTAAAGCTGTGCAATCGCAAATGTATATACTTATTTTGCAGGATAATAATTACAATAATAAACTTCTGTTAGACATTACGACAGTGAAGCAGAATAAACAAAGCTATTAGAAAAAAGATTTTCTTTTTGAAACAAGGAAACTAGTAGTCGTGTGATTGCTAATGGCTTATATATTCATCAAAAGATAGGGAAATTATCATTGGGAAAAGGATGGCCCAGCGTGATAAGATAAAACGTTGAAATCGGGATTAAATATAATCAGGAGGTTCAGAGAATCAGAAGTAAACCAGTTGGGGGTAGGCTTAAGGAAATGGAAGCAGATAGCTATAAAGGAAGAGTATGAAGAAAAGAAGTCATGATAACTTTGTCACAATAGCAAAGACTAGTTGCCATTCAGATGCGTAGTAATTAAGTATTATAGTAACTATCCCGACAGGCATAAGTTATATCTTGATGTGTATGTTTGGTTTGTCTGTCATGATGATCCAGTGGAGTTGGGACACATCCCTTCAGGTTCTACCACGTTAGATGTTTTTTGAATAGTACCATCAAGACCAGCAACTTAAGGTCTGAGGGCAAAGCTATACCATTGACCTTACAGTGTTATAAAGGCAGTAAGATGTCCCCTCAAAGTAACTAGCAACTGCAGCGATCCTCCCTTCTTACAACAAAAGGAAGGACTAGGAATAGGTCGGTCGTAAAAATTACACACCTTAACCCAAAGATCCCCGTTTCCAGCGACAAACATGGAGCTAACGCATCAGGTTCCTCATCAAATATTCTTTTGAGGATGGGGTAAGCCGTAAGTGATAAGCTCCCCCCATGTCTTTAGCAACTATTATCATACTGACTGTGGTAACTAATTGCCGGATTTATTTAAACCTAACTATCAGTGTCTATGCACTTGAGTGTAGTAGATGACTTACCCACCTATTTATTAAATATTAATTGAACTCGACTGTCTTTATCACATATTTGCGCTCGTTTTCTCACTGAGCTGAGGTTTCCCATGGTAGTTCCTAGAACATAGTGCCAGTTCCCTCAGCTGCATTGTCTTGTTGCTGCCTGCATGCTTCTTCATAGATCGATTTAAGCCAAGCTAATAATAAATTGTCGTTGAGGTTCGTGAAAATCATAGTAAATCGAGCACCATGTTTCCATGAACAAAATTTTAGCATAAGTTATGAATTAATTTACACCTGAAATATGCACCAGAGGTGTATAATCGCGGTCACGTTGCTTAACTAATGAACGTATGCTAAGATTTGTTGTATGTAGAAAGGTTTATGACAAAGTAGATGTAGGATTACCTGACCATATCTGTAGTCCCATGCAAAATAGCCTTTTATTAGTGCTCATTCACAAACCCTCTACTTTAGACACGAAAGGTGCATTCTTAGGATAAGTTGTACAACTCTCTGCCAATAATCAGAAATAACCCTTGATATTGACGCACAAGTTCCTTAAATGATCAACAAAGCACTTATGAAGCTTCTTTCTAGGGACACTGTAACAGCAACAGGTACTGAACAGTTATACTCAGTAATTCATAACGGCTGTTAGGAAAGTCGTGATTGCACTTATAAGGACATTTTCCAGTTGACATTACTTAGTATTCCGGTCTTTTAATTCCCTATAGAAGTGTAACTTCAAGTCAGAAGCATACAACTGGATAGGCATTTTTAGTAAAGTATATGACCAAACTAGCGTACTTAGATCCTGCCAACAGAATCTAGCACTTGTCATTACTCTTACTAGCAATACCGATTGTAGCGGATGGTATGAGCACCGAAATCCATAATTATCACCGACGGATGTACTTTCGTGTCGACTATTTTAGCGCTAATTTCAGGGCAGTTAAGTCATCTACTAATTTGCTTTCCTTTGTAAAACCCCAAACTCTTTTTACCAGTTTATTCAATGACCAGTCATTCAGACTCAGCGTAGGACCCGAGGTATATGGGTTGGTAATCATTTATGGACTAAACAATTAACCTGGGGTTGGAATGTTGTGAAATATCAACATTTAACTACTAGTACAACTGACTAAGTCACTTCAGAGTAGAATACCAATTTTATCTGCTTCTGAAAGATATACCGAAACACCACAAGTTATGAATAAACTTACATTCCTACGGACCTGCTACATTCATGTTTGTGAAATACTGCCACAAGATCTCAGCTTTTTTGGGTTAGGGAAGAATGGCACTTGTACACTTCATCACGATCCTTCTTTAGAACCTCAGATCCTAAATTACTTGCAATTCATTGCTTGATTATTTTATTAATTCGTATTTTCTCGAATCATATCTAGTGTCCAATATCATCTTGGAGAAATTCCGGCGTCCCCCCCAAACTATGGGGAAAACCCCTAAATTGTTAGATGATTTTGTGGAAATATACGGGATTTTTCCCAGACCTGAGATTTTGGGTTTCGTGCCATTTCCCCAAAGTTTACCTAAACCTGGCAAAACTTTTCCCAAAATAGGGAGATCGGGTGCCTAGGCTTTTCTACTGTCATCAATGCCGTTACCAATTTGCTACTCTGGGATTTCCCTGGTAATTCCATCTTACTGTGCTAGTGGAGTATGGGGTTTGAACTGATTTACGCGTGTCAGGTCCCATGTTGTATCTGACTAATTACCGGGTACACACAAATTTGATTTTTAAAACATGAAAGCGTACCGACATAAGATATCAACCTATAGAATAGAGCCTATACACTTAAAATATATTCTTATACTTCGAATGTCGTAATGAAAGCTGAACAAACTACATCAGTAACTACAAGAATACACTACAGCGACACATGTGGAGACCACTCAGTACTAGTCATAACAGATCTCTTCCCCAGTACGACTTGATGACTGGTTATTTCTGCAAGGTCTAAAATGTTATATCAGAATAGGCTTGTAATTAAGAACGAAATAATTCACAAGTCAGTTAGTTGTTTCAAAAAAGTATCTGTTTGCTAATATTTTTCAATAACCATGCTACCTCTATTTTTTGAAAAAAACAAGGAATACGTCTTCCGAAACCAACACGAGATACAATTCAGGATGATACAGCTAGCCTATATCTTGTATGGAAACATATTGTTTTCTACTTCTTTTTCCCATTTCTCGATCTGATGGAAGTGATTTGAATAGATTAAGATTAAACATACCCATGATGATGGGCAAAGTAATTGTGCCGTACGCATAAAGTAATTGCAAGCTTTGTATTCCTCTCCATATACTCGCTTACAACGCTGAAAATCTACAAAGTTTTGCACACATTTACTTCGGTACGTTAGGATACTAACACAATCATACTTACGGGGTTTGATTGGTATTTGGAAATCTAGAGTCATATGGAACGACTTCCATCCATTCAAAATCACCCTGTGTTTATAATAATTACTTGAACTTGCACTACCGTTTCCATTGACTCGCGACACTTATCCTTAAATTCGTCATAGCTGAACATCGTTTGAAGTCCGCTCGAATTAATTATGTTCAATGTCAGGTGCATAGCAGACTTTGCTTTGCAGAAATAATGAAGTTTTTG